GCTTATGTTGAGTCTCTTATCAACCAACACCCCCAAGTCCTTCTCCTCAGGGCTATTCTCAATCCGTTCTCTGACCAGCCTCTATTATGTAGGCATTGCCCTGACCTAAGACTTAACCTTGTTGAACTTCATGAGGTTGTCTTCATAAACACAAAACAGCTCTTAATTCAAATAATATTTTAAGGAAAGTCACAAACAAATTACGTGGCCTGAAGGTACAAACAAGAAATCAGGACAAAGTATGGGATAACTGTGAAAAATAGTAACGCGAAAGTCTCTACTCATCTTAGGATTTCTCATAGACTGGTGGAGAGGAAAGAGGAGGAAAAGGAGAATAATTACTTTAATAACTTTTGCTCATAGTTTCCAAAAGTTAGAGGTAGAAATTCAGAAAATATATTTTCATCTTCCTGCAGGTGTTATGAAAACTTTGCTGTTTGAACTGAGGGATGGTGTCATCTTTAGGTTTCCAAGAATTCATGTTAAAAACTAATGTGGGTTCATAGAAAGCAAAATCAGAAATCTTATTTATATTTCTGATGCTTCACTTTTAGTAGCAATGTTTACACGGATGTTAGGAATATTCTTGTTTGAATATTGTAAATCTGTTGAATAGTGTAAACACTATTTACAGCATTAGACAAATAAATGTACCTCTATATTCATTGTATGCCCTCTGAAAATGTATCAGGGAAAGTACTGGCCTAGGCTTGACACAAGGTCTGCTTTTGGTGGAGATAATAGAGTAGAGTGTATTTAGGAATAATACTGGGTTTCTGCTCACCATCACTAACAGTGGTCACAGCCACTGTTAAGACTATAAGAAATAAGACTACTGTTTATCTTCCACAACAACTTTATAGGATGCCAGAGATACCTCAGAGTATCTGAGGATACAGAGTAGCCCAGGGAAAGGGCTTAGATGAAGGAATTTAAGGGAAGAAGTATTTGTTTTTCAGAGGATGTTTTCTTCCAGGGTCTTGAATTCCTGATTGTTATAAGTTCTTCTTCAACAGCAAATGAAACCCTAACACAAAAAACTTGTGGCTATTAGCTCCTCCATTAACTACCAATGTCTGGAGTCTACAAAGCATCTCAATGTTCCAACCCTGGTGTTAATTATGTGCATATTAATCTAATAACTACTGATAGACTTTCATTTTTCTTCTCATTTTCTAGCTTGCATATATACACAAGCAATTTAGGAGAATATTAATGTGGTCTTGAAATTTTTTAAATTTTAGTTATGCCAGAACTGTGTCTGCAGACAATTTATGGTAATACCTAGCAATTTCAAAGATTACCTTTGGTAGTAGGGGAAGAAAAGGTCCTTTGATGATGATGTCTACTTTTTTTTTCCTTCCTTTTCAGAATACAATGCTTTGATATTTCTTGTATTCTTGTTTCTTATTTTGAAATAAATAAAATAATAAATAAAAATAATAAATAATATTAAATATTATATTAAAAACTACAAACAGTTGAAATCACAAAACCAGATTAGCTTCAGAAAGCTTATTTTTTAACAGATTTGTGGGGTTTGTTCAACATTTCTTAACTGCAGAATTTCCTGTGGAATGCACAGAGATAACCTGAATCTTTTTGGCATCTCTATGAAATGTGAACTCATTAAGTGTTGAATCAGAATTTTGTAACAATGGGAATCCTTCTCACTTCTTGCAGAGCCTGGAGGATGTGCTCAGGAACTGCAGAAAATGGAAAAATGATCTTGCATGTACAGCAGCTCCGTGATGCCCTGATCTGGGTTCTCTTTGTACCTCTGCTTCCTGCAGGTGGTGCCAGGTGACTCTATTAAAACTGGATTCTCAGAGGCAGTCAGAAATTTTGCATCATTTGCTTTCTGTGTGTTTGATGGCAGAGGCTATGGAGGACCAAGATGCCTACTTGACACCCAAAATTGCACCTAAACAGAATGGGGAACAGTCACTTTAAATGCAATAGCATAGTTGCTGTGATAAAATTAAAAATAATAAAAAATCATGCCGACATGGCTGAAATTTGTCTGCCAGTTCTAGCTGATGTTTGCAATTGTTACTTCTGAACAGGAATGTGGATTATGATTTCCCTTTAACTTATATGGATATTATTGTAATTTGTGCCTGATTGAAATATTAACTAATTACTGTTATTATGAATTCTGAGAGAATCAGCATAGATTCCTTATTCAGAATAAACCTAAGTTGTGTTCCAAAAATGTGACATGAAATCACACCATGAATTACGCAGATAAAACCCTAAGAAAATACAGCCTATACTAGGCTGTATTGGGTCAAATACTAGGGACCACCTAGTGAAAGAGAGTATTTGTCATTTATATAATTAAGGGGACTGAATTAATATTGCTCAGGCAGCAATATTAGATGTATTTTCAATACTGTGAGACTTCAGTGTGTTTTAACTGTAAGGATGTATTCAAGTGCATGATTGCATTTGTACAGTATGTTGAATAGGATGTTTCATTAAAATAGTTTTGGTTCATGCAATGCTTTATTTATATCTCTTAGAAGCTGAACACAACTGGAATAAATGTTGTGTCTTGTGCACATTTTCCCCTTTTCAATGCTAGTTTTAGTTTTTACGTTCATCATCAAACTATGAGGGTATTTAAGGACTGTTGAAGGAAGTCTCCAATTGAATAGTTCTTATTCCACAATCATAATAAACTGGGAGTAATCCGTACTTGCAGTCTCCTAAACTGGAATACACTGTGCAAAGTTATTACTTTAAGACATACCTGGCTCAAACACAAGCTTATCTAAAATGCTGGATTTTGATTCCACATTTGTCAAAGCTAATGACATTTGGGAAATTTTTTGAAATGAGACTGTCATTGCAAAGTCAGCAGAGGAGCTGGCTTATTCCAAAAACACATTGATGTAAAAGGAAATTGGGATGAATTAAAAGCTCTGATGGGAGGGTGTAAGCAGACATACTGTATATGATGGCTTTCAGATTCTCTCTTCCTTTATTTTGTTTTCTTTGTAATATGCCCTCAGTATTCTCACCAGAAACAGGTCGATAAGATGGCCAGAATTTTCAAAATCAATTAAAGATTCTGAATATGTCAGGTTCTGAGTGTTGAGCAGGAAACCTTGAAGTTGTCTGGCATGCAGAAAGTGCTCAACAACTCTCTTATGAAAACCTGTTTCCTTTGAGCAAAGCCCATAATATTATTGGTCAACTTGGAACATACAGATCAGTCTTTCCTTCCCCAACAAGGAAAATAAATAAATAAATAAATAAATAAATAAATCAGCTGGGTGAAATTGCTATTGCTTCTATAGCTTATCACGAATATCAGTGCTTGATGAGTTTTTGCTGCCTTCAGTTTCTTCTACCAGTGATGCATGAGTGTGATTAAATAAGTTCTGAACTTCTTTGGAATATGGCCATGGTTTAAACTGTTCAGTGTCTACTGAGTCAGATCAGGCGACGTGCTACCTCCAGCTCAGCCCCTTTTCTCGACCCAATGTTCCCTACTGGACTCTGTGGTTTCCTTTCTGCAGAGAGCACCTCTTCATATTGCATTGCTTAGTTGCTTCTGAATTTGTATGCAATATGATGCGAGGCAGCAGATTCCCTGGCCCTCACTTCTCTTGTGGGTAATGTAATTTTATAACCTTAAAAGGTAAATGATAGATTTCTGGTGCTCCAAAAATAAGTATGTGGAATATTTACAGAGCAAGATCTGGACATGATCTTTGCTTGAGTGTATTATTCTGCCTGTTGCTTCCCTATGCTTCCCATACCTCTAGACAGACTCAATTTAATATCCATCCCAGATATACTGCCATCTCAAAGCTTCTGGCAATCACTGTTATCTGTCACACTAATGTACTATACATGATTTTTTTTTCTGTTTTTTTTTTTTTTTTTTGGTGAAGAAATAATAAATTATTGGCATAGGTAGTTCAGAAGACAGACCAGATTTCTTACCCAGTGAGATATTATTGTGTTCCAGAGGCATCTGAAGGGAGTCAAACCTAGTCCACGCATATGTTCAATTTCACATGATGTGTTGAGGCCAAAATTTGGGGCCAGCTGCTCTTAAGTCTTTGGCATGTGCTTTTCTTTAACTCCATTGAACATTGCCTGTGTGTATGTGATTTCACTGCTGTGGCCTCAGCTTCAGAGCTATATATATGGTTCTTACCCTCTCGGTAACTTCTTAAGAAAAAGGAAAAGGAAAAGGAAAAGGAAAAGAAAAAGAAAAGAAAAAGAAAAGGAAAAGAAAAAGAAAAGAAAAGAAAAAGAAAAAGAAAAAGAAAAAGAAAAAGAAAAAGAAAAAGAAAAAGAAAAAGAAAAAGAAAAAGAAAAAGAAAAAGAAAAAGAAAAAGAAAAAGAAAAAGAAAAAGAAAAAGAAAAAATAAAAATGTTGTTTAGTGTTAAGTCTAGAAAAGCACTTTGCTGACTTCTGGCTTATTAAAATGTGGTCGTACCAGAAAATATAATGTGACAACAACTGCCTGACTTTTGCGCTTATATGGGATAGACTTTAAAGCTGTTTAAAAACTTAGACAATATAGGAAATGAAGCCTCCAAACGCATGTATTCTCATTGCATGTAAACTGGTACTTTTTTGTCACACATAAGGACAGACATTAAAAACAACTATATAAAGTATTTATGAGGTTTTGATTTACCACAATTATTTTCTCTGGCTTTTAGAGTCTCTGAGTAGTATCTTAATGCTAGATCATATTTTCTGACAACAGAACACCAGATACACTGTAATGATTTGGCATTCAGCCTTTTGGAATGAAGGCCAAAACTGGCTAAATAAATCATTTCCAATAGCAAGGAGCAATGATTGCATTGTAAACTCTGGATAAATCTGTGATATTACAGAAAGCAACTGTTTTGCAATAAATTGACTTGAAAAAAAAAAAAAATCTGTGGAAAAAAATTTCCCGCACTGGAAAGATGCCAGTGTGGCATTATGCTACCAAAGTTTTCTATACCGTAACAACTGAACATTTAATAATGTGACAGAAAGTATTCTTTTCTTGATTATTATGCTTAAGGTTGGGTGAGAATCCCAGAAGAGAGCAGTATTTAATAAAAATGTTAACTTTATTAATAACATACAACACACATCACAATTCCTGGTAGGCATCACATGGTTTAGAAAAGGCAGGTGGTCTGTGAAATAGCTTGGGCTCCTGCTACACAGGGTTTCTATCATGAGAGACAAAGCTAAAAGCTGCTTTGTATTCAGCAGGAGACAGTGGAGTGAAATATTCACTAATGGGCATTTATTGCTTGTGAGACTGCACTTCTCAGAGGCAATGTAAGAGATCAGGGCAGTAGTGCTAAATACCCTGCAAGCATGTCATGTTGGACAGGAGAAACAATGGGGCCCCATGGTGCTCCTCAGGTCAGGGCTGGGAGCAGAGGGACAGGTGCCCTCTGTGACCCTCTTCTGTATCGCTTCTTGAGAAATTTCCCTGGGTTTTGCTTTAAAAAAGGCCAGAACCAGCTGAACAAATGTATAGCTATTTGGTGTAGCATGTCCATGAAGTTCAGGTTAATAGTTCAGTTGCAGTGCAAAGTCTAAACCTATGTTCTCCTGATAGTATAGCTTCTACCTCAAAAGAAATACCACTAATGATTGTTTTTTAATGTAATTGCATGACATTTAAAAAAACCTTCTAGGTAAATATTATCAGTCAAAATAGAAGGACAAATCAGGATGTAGAAGGCCATATTGGAGTGGAAAAAACCTTTCAACTGCTTGTAAAGCCAGGGCAACTTTTAACTCCTTGTGATTTATTACACCTCTGTTCATTACAGTTTGGAGTTCAGTAGCCACAATTAAAATCAGAAGGAAATAACTCCTTGCCTTGTGCCCTTCTATTGCCCCTATCCCCTACAGCCAATGCCGTTGGGAGTTGCAGCACCACAGGGCCGGCTTGGCATGCAGTCAGCAGAGGGCAGAGTGCGAAGCCTGCTTGGCCTGGGCCTGTGCCCAGGCCCTGGCCTACCAGGCTCACCTTGTTGCAAGGGCCATGTCACCAACCCCAGGAACAGGCGGTGGCAGGGAATCTCTTGGGGAAGGGCCACAGCCTGTAAAGCCATTCAGTAGATTATCCAGCACAAAAAATCTTACTGTCTTAAAGGCTGAAGGATGACTAATGGTTGCCTTAGGCTGTGAAACATCTGAAACGCCACTGGGGAGTGTATCAGGACAGGACTGGTGCTGTGGCACTCCAGAGACTTTGTGGAAAAAATTACAGTTACAGTTTTAACTTGGCTGCTTCCTGAGTTATCCCCTTAGGTTTCAAACCTCGCAACCCATCTGAAATGTAGCGATGTCCCAGCATGATACACTTAGCACATCTGATTGTTTAATTACTATCCTCCCTTCCACACATGTAGGATCACAGTTTCACCTGCTCATGTGGCACCCACATGTGCTGTCCTGAACATCAGTGTGTGAGGAGCTTGGGATCACTGCCAGTCTGTTATCTTCTTCTCCTGCATTCATTCGTGCTCTTTGTGCAAACTGTAGCTTCTGCATGCTGCTCTGCATACCTAAATAGAAATGCAGTAACAAAATAATCATGCAATTTGTGTAATACTTAGCTGAATCTTTGTTAATTGTGTTGAAAGTGAAAAGCATCTTCTAAATAAAAACAAGATAGCAAACTTCCTTGTGCAATAGTTGAATAATTACATGAAAAGTAAATATAGTTTTTGAAATCTGTTTTTAAAGCTTCCCATCAAGTAAAGGCAGATGGACTTTAATTAAATGCTATCATGATGGCTGTTGAATGAATGTATATCAAGTATTGCTCAATAAAAAAATAGTATAGGTGTTTTCTCAGAACTACGTTAAAAATACATTTTCTTTCTGAAAAATACCCCAGAAATAGTGAGTGCAGGTGAGAGAAGAAAGGGAAAATTCCTAGTGGGAAACACAGACAGACTTCCAGGAATCAGGCACATGCAATATGTATTAATTAAAATAATTTGTTCTTGGTCAAAACCTACATACAATGAGCAATACAGAGAGAGGAATTGGGGTTACACTTTTGGTTCCTGTAAAGGTTCATTTCCATTGTTCAGGGACATTATGAAGTGTTTTTGTAGCAGGTTTCCTCCTCCAGCCTTGTTCTCTGGCAGGCTGGCAGCATGGATAGCAGCATTGCTTGCATTCTGGTATCAAGGTCGGATTTGGCCTTTGTTTTTTATGCTGTGTTTTCATGTTATAATTCAGAGATTCAAGGTAAGGGGGACAGAGAATAGTTTAGCCTCTTTCCTAGTAGATGACAACAGAATTTGCAATGAGTACTCAAGACTACACCTGAGCAGAGGTAGAGTGATTTAGTAAAGTATGAGCTGTCTTGGGAGTTTGCATCCTTCCCTGTCTGTGCTGTTGCTCTCTTGCTGAATGATCTTTTCAGCCTAATGTCTCAGTTTCTTCAACTGTAAAATGGTCACATTAATAAAGCAATAAGCAAAGTGCTTTGCTTTCTCAAGAGAAAATCTGATGTATAATAACTGGGCACCATTTATTTTTTTCTGGAATATTTTAGAAGAGAATTCTGGTTTCTTGTGGTCCCAATGTCTCCTCTGTCATCCTTGAAATACTGTGTTTGTGTGTTTTTTGTAATTTCTGCTTGGCTGTTTCAGTCGCTAAAGGATAAATGAATACCCATGGTACTTTCAGGCCAATTTTGAATACTTCTCTCAAGGTAGTTAAACATGTATGTACAGTGACATCCCTGTCATGGCAGAGGAAGCTGTTTATATTAACATTTCAATATATTCATGTTGAATATATTAACGTATTCAACATTTCCAAGTGATGGCATGGCAAGAGCATTGCAAACATCCAACCAATATCTAATTGTGCTGACTAGTTATTTCTCATCTGATTATAAGCAGTGAATTGGTTAACAGTATTGGTACTTAAATGTGCATGTTTATGCTTCAAGGCTGACACTCCGGTAAGATGAATGGGGGAAGTTAACTTTGCTTGATGCTATTGTTTTAGCTGGTAAGGATGAGGACTCAACAAGATGAAAGTATGTTGGTTTACATTGTCAAGGCTATCTTCACAACCAGAAGCTAGAAACTTCCTTTATTATGAGAAAACAAACACATAAATTCTGGGAAAAAGAATAAACCCCTCCATTAATCTGCATGAAAGCCTTAAATCATTCAGATTCATAGATTTGATACTTATGGCAATATTTTTTTTCTTCTGCATTTGGACTAAATGTCATTATCAGGCAGCATCATTCCTTGCATCCATTGATAGGCTAAGTTAATAGAATGTTACCTTGTTCTATTGAAATCTGTTCAGAAAAAGAAATGAGGTTCTTGGCTCCCTTTGTCTTGTTGAACAATATAGGATATCTCATTTGATCTAATTTTACATCAGCTTCCCAATTGAGAAGCAGGAGTGAATGGGTTATGCATGCTAAACATGTTGAGAAATGCAGATGAAAAATTATTATGTAATCCCAAAGCACCAAATTATATGACCTTTATTCATATTGAAATAATGAGAAGTATTTACAGAATAACTTACTGTTAACTTTTGCTTTATAGTTCCATTTTCATAGGATTAAAGGAACCTAAAAATGAATGAAAGTGTAGGATAGTGAATGATGCTGTGTGTTTGAAGATATCCACACTCCAACTTAATCATTGAATATATCTCAGTATATCAGTACCTCATCCGTAGTATTACTGCGGGGATTTTCAGAAAAATAGCATGTAATGTCAGCTCTGTACTTAAACTGTAACCAACAAACCCTGGGGAGCTATCAAGTTATCAGTCTTTAGTACTGAAAACATAACACCGGTTTAAGTATAGCTACTCAAAATGGGTCAAGTTACAGCTGGGTTATGTTTTAGTGAACTAAAATTAATAGGGTATTTTCAGCCAAACAGGCAAATTCGTAGATGTAGATATTTTTAACCAAGTTCCTGATTATATAAGCTCATTTTAACACTGTGAAAATTGGTTAGGTGTACACACATGCAAAAACACCTGTGAACTCTGAAGTTCCAAATTTTTTATTGCATGGAACCTCAAGCCAGGACTGAAATGCCAGCATTTCAGCATTCAAATTCTGGATCAATGTTAAGGTTTAAGATGATTTGGAGTTTGAACCTTGTGTACTTTAGATGTAGATGTCACATACCCTCATCTAAGGCAAAATTGGTCCTGTCAAAACTAAAATGATTGTGTATCAGATACGTTCTCAATTTCTAAAGGAAAGAGAGAGATTGAGAGAGAGAGAGAGATCTTGACATAAGAGCTAAATCTGAGTAAGTTACTTCTGAAGCTATGGGACCATAAGCATCTTTGGTGGCCTAGGTAAAACAGTTATGCTCTTCTCATGTACACTTTAATTAAATGTGCAAAGATAAATTTGCATGTCAGATATGCTAACATAAATTGAGAATTTGAAGATTAATGTCAGACAGTATTTCACATTCACATTCAACATTTTTCTGTGATTCTGTGAAGATTATATCTCTATTTTCTCACCTGTTCCACTGGTGAATCTCTAAGAGACAGTGTGGTTTTGGCCCCAGGTGATTAGGTCTTTTTTTTCTCTCTTTTTTTTTTTTTTTTTCTTTTATATTTCTTTTTTTTTTCTCTCTCTCTCTCTCTTTTTTTTTTTTTTCAAAGCACATAAATTATTTCTAGACCATTAATTGGAAAAAAAGAGAAACTAATGCCAGTTTACTCTTGATTTTGGAAAGAATAATGGTCTTCAGCCTGTTAATTAAGTTTGTCACATGTCTAGCTATATAAACTTTTAACATAACTCAGTCAAATTTAAGATCCAGACAGTAGGGTCTAAACATGCTTTTTGTGACACTCTCTGAAAAGTCAAAGAATACACAGATTCATAAGTGAATTACAGTGTTACTAATACAATCCTTAAAAAGTCAGTAATATATATTAATACAGTTTTTCATAATGTTTTCAACTCTCTGTACATAAGGAAAAGAAATAAAAAAAATATATATTTCTTGTACTATTGGCTTTATACATGTGCATGAAATATTAATTTTGAAATTAAGAAGGTTAGAACTTCAAAGGTTGAATAGAAACATTTCTGTGTTCCCCTTTCCAAATTGTACTTTCCAAAATGCAAGTAATGAAACGACCACTAGAGCCAGTTTTAGGCTGTTTCTGCCTTGTGATGGATACAGATCAGTTTGGTAATTATTATTTTTATTATTTTTAATCAGAGATACTTAAATACTTTCCTCAGTATATTTTCCTGGTAATCTCATAATTTTGGGCATAAACTCATAATATCTTTCCACATCAGAAAACAGCTATTTCCATTTAGCTGATGGGAAATTGAGGCACAAAGGCACATGATCTTTTCCATATCATGGTGGATGAAGATCAGTCAGAACAAGCTAAATGATTTTTCACTGAGGATTAACTTCTCAATTGCTATCTATCTATCTTTATACCAGTTCAAGATGATGAATTAAACTGCTAAATGCTTAGAAAACAAAATATTACTAATATGATTTGGTGAGTAAAACCAAACCAAACAAATTAAAAGACAAATGCAGGTTATATGCATAGTTATCCTTATTTTGATGTGTGTTTTGGGAAAAGGAAGAGGGAAAATGTTATTTTTTTCCCATCAGAAAAATCTATGTAGTTTGCCAATATCTGCCTTGGCAACACTTTACTTGCAATGTATATATTGGACCTTTTATGAAAATGGTCTCCCAGGATTGAGAAAAACTGTGAGCAAAACTATGTGGCAGGAAACATTTAAACAGGAAAATATGAAATACAATTCAGATTTGATAAATTCAGTGTCAAAAGACACTCTACTTTGCAGTACTTAAAAGATATCTCCAGCCTAAAAATATGCTATTGATTGAGAAGAAAAATGAAGGCAATGGTAGAAAATCGCAAATGTAAAAGCAAGAGTAATAGCAGTGAGTTTAAAATGGACTCTAGGGAAATATGAACAATTGATACAGGAAGCTGAAAGTATCTTTGAAAAACTCTGTAGAGGATTGAGGAAAATAAGAAACAATACATTAAGTATATAAGGAAAAAGTGATATCCCAGTAATGGTGCAAATCCAGCATTCAGCAAGGATAGTAAAAACATGGATCATGATGTGCAAAAGACATTTGTAGTCATACACATCTTTTTTTCTAGAATAAGACAAGAAGATCTATTTCTATCTTGAAGCCAGTGGTAAGTATTTTCCCTCTTATCAGTAGCTAGAAGCAATACTGAACAAATATTATTGTCTTTTGTTTATATTGGAATGATCAGGTAATAGCATTGATGCAACCTAAGGTAGTTTATTTCAGTGTACTTATTATTATTTTTTTTTAATAAATGTACAGAATGCTGGAAAAATAGCAAAAGACTTGATTAATGCTGATATTTGCAATTAAAATTGTATTCAAAAAGTTAAAAAGTTAAAAGACTGACTAAAATGTAGGGACTAAAGAAATAAGTATAGGTGTGGAATAGTCAAGCAAGGAAATATTTCTAGTATAGTCCTGTAAGGATCTATTATTTGTCCAATACTATGCAGTATCTTCAGCAAAGTCTGGAAAATGTGAAAATGTTAATAGCAAAACTTATGGGTGATGTAATCATTTGACAAAAAATTAATGGTGACAAAAGGGGAATGAGCTAATCTGGAGTGCTCATTAGGTGTGCTCATGGAGTGCTCATTAAATATCATTAACACAAGATATATTTGCATATGGTTAAACCTGAGGCCAAAAGACAAAGAATTTATGTAATACTGAATCCTTTAGAGCAGGTACTCTAGAAAAGACTTAATAATTTGAAACTGAGCTACCAGAATGATACTATGATTAAAATGTCAGATGCGGTATTTTCATGTCTGAGCAAGGGAATACAGATGGAAAAGGTGATATTCCTTCTGTGTATGTAGAGAGAGCATTCCTGGAATACACTGTCCAGTTCTGACAGTTATACTTTAAGAAGGACATTGACAAACTGGAATGGGCTCAGAAGAAAGCTGCAAGAAAAAAAAATGAGGTCTGGGAAATGTGCCTTATATAAGCCACCTAAGAAATTCAATGCATTTACTCAAGGTTGGAAAAAAACTTTATAGACTTTATCACCATCTGTAAGAACTTTCATGGAAAGATGTTCTTGACCAGTTCCCTTTAGTTTAATAAAATATTTAAAATTATTTGCTAATTATCAATTATTCTTGTTACTTGATCACTAGCTAATTAATAATAAAGATGGAACTACCAGAAATTTAAGTTTGACAATTCTGAGCTTGAAACAGCTTGAAATATCAAGTGATAGTAATTAATTTTTTGAATAAGTTCTGATATACCGATGTGATGGATTTTCCATCTGCTGCAATTCTTAAATTGAGCTGTGACATATTTGTCAGAAAGACAGCCAGTCTAGAACAGATATTATGGCTGATGCAGAAATCATCAGGTCCTGTTCCCTAATTTATACAGCAGGATGAAAAGGTAGCTTTGGGCTATAATATCACCAAGGAAAAAGTAACCAAGGTACACTGGAGTAAAAAAGACTGCAAATATGTACTCCAAATGCCACTATCACAATAAAAATACATTGGAAAGGAAAATGATTTTAAATGACCAAAGAAAGGAGGACTGTTTTTAATGCATAGCCTACAAAATATCATGTTTCTGCTACTGAGTCTGCCTCTGACTTCCTTATTTTGTCCAATTCAAGTCATTTTTACTCAGTATAGTTGTGTCTAGTTTGCTTTGAAACTTTGACTGGTGAGTCTGAATTAAGTTTAAAGCATGAAAATCAAACACAGTGATGACTGCAAAAAATACTGCATTTGATGTACAGTGGTTGTATGTGCCAAGGAGGTGCAGAGTTTTTCTTTAGCTATTCTAAAAAGAGCTGGAGTGCAGATGGGTCTGACTGAAAAAAGTATACAAATATATCACATGTGTGTTTATGATCTTCTGTCCTTCTTAAATCAGGCCCTCCTTTGGCACTTCATTCTACTTCATTGTTCAATGGGAGTTTGCGAGTATTAGCGGCTACAATATTTTGTAATGGCAAAAGACGCTAAAAGCATTGAGAGTTTGGGGCTTGTTTGTTTGTTTGTTTTTCCTAAGTCAAAGCATTAAGGTCTGTGATGAAAAAACTGCAATGGCACATGCACTCATTTACAAAACATAAGTCCTCTACTGCTATATAGCAGTCCTTGGGAAGGCCCACAGATTCAAATGTGAATTATGTTTTGTATAGATATGAGCTAAAATGCAATTCCATTTGCTCACAACCACATATAATGTTATCTAATGCACTTTTTTCTTTTTTTTTTTCCTTTTTTTTTTTTTTTACTGTAACAGGCAGATGTCTTTTTAGTCATAAAAATATATATATAAAAAACATGACACTGCTTTCTTTTGGTGATTTTACCCTAGTTTATATTCCAAACCCTCTTATTAAAACACCTTCTAGGACTGGTTACCAAAATGACTTCTTAAAAGTCTTACTTACAGACATTTTATGACTTCAGAAAAAAAGGATGGTGTTAAAATCAAATGTTTCTTCAAGTAGGCAGCCACTTCAACATTCTTTTCCAGAAAGCTTTTATCATTTACATCACTTGGTCTTTTCTCTGCTTCCTCATAGCTTCTTCTGCCAATGTTTGGCATTTGTTAAGCTTTCTCCTCTATTTAGAATACTTCTTGAGCTTGGAAACTTTCCAGGAAAAAAAAAAAAAAAAAGCGTAAGTGCCTTCTGCAAGATTTGACAAACTATTTTATTAACAATGAAAATTCAGTTCTAAATGTGATTGGTTTTATTTTTTTTTTCTTCTGATTTTACATCCTAGCACATTATTTTACGTCCACAGTTTTACAAGCACGGTTTTTGACCATTTCTGAACAGATTTGGCCTCATACAGAAAGTCTTTAAGTATTTAGTCTGTATCAGTTAGAAAACACTCCGAGGGTGGGAACATCTGGAAATAAACTGCATGACCCACTTTAGCATACTTTGCACCATGAAAGCTTGTATATTATTTCAGTGGCCCCTGGAGCTGCTGTTTTGGAGAGTTTTGCTCAGTCTGGACCTTGAAATGACTCATCTCTATCCCCTGCTCCCCCAAAATAAATTCATAACATTCAAGACGTGAGGGAGGATTGTCAGCACATTAATGTGTAGGTCATTTTTGATTAAAGAATACTTTGCCCAATATGGTCTGTATTCTTCCATTTTAGGCCACTGCCTCACAACATAGCCATGAAGAAATTGCTTCCCTGTCTCACCAGGAAAGTCATGATGGCAAGTACCTTGCTCTTTACTTACTGCTGTGTGCTGTGTTAAAGGCATCTGTATTGAATCATTCATTTGTGTAGCAGCTTGTGCAAAGCTTAGTGAATGAAGCAGTGAGCTAATGAATGAACATTCCTACTTAAAACAGACATATATATCTTTCAAGTTGTATTCCTTCATCGTGATGGCATACCTCAGCCCATTGGCTCAGTCCAAAGTAAATCCATAACATGTCATAGCTGGATAGACCTCTGATGAGATTCTTTTCAACAAGTTAGCATACTGTTAAGTCATTATTTTCAAGGTCTCTAACACAGAAGTCCCTTGTTGAACAACTTTGCTTTATTTGGCCCACTGTGTGAAGGCACGTTTGAGTGAGATTTTTAATTCCCAATTCATGAATATTATTCCAACACAAATGTAAATCTCTGCAAGCATTGGGCTACTACTCTGTATTCTAACAACATATGGAAGATAATACTGTGCCCATTCTTAATTACTTAATTAAAATAATCGTTGGAACAACTTTATATAGCTATATAGTATCTTTTTTATTTTTTTTTTATTTTTTTTTTTCCTGATAGACTTGTGTGGTTAGAATAAGTCATAGGCAGGGAATTTTACTGACTTGTCAATGATGGTGAGTCTTAAAGCAATAACTTTAGTAACAAAACACTATATTCATTCCCAGTTGGACAGAGTCTTGAGGAGGACAGAGACTGCTTGAATGGAGCAGTGGTGCAAGCTGCTGGCAAGGCTTGTCCAGGGATCTTCTGGCTCCACACCGGGGAGGAAACCAAGGGGAGAGTGTTGATTGGCTCCCTGAGCCTCCTTGTTGAATCTAACCTATCATATTTTTTAAACACCCGAGTGACTCCTGGTGTCTTTTAGGAGAGGTAATTGCTTCTACCACTTTTTTCCTATTGCTTTCTGACCATCTCAGTTCTTTCTTAAGGGGTTGCCCTTAGTAACACCGATGTGAACTGTACATAGGCTTAAAGAAAATTAACAGTGACTCAGAAAATGAGAATTATCTGGAAATAAAATGCATTCCTCTGGAATACAATATCATGGAGACTTGATTATTTCTTCTCGTGGAAGGGGCCAAGGTGTTTTATGATACCATACAGTTGTAGCTGAGATTGGCCTGTAGCCCAATCAACTAGTCATTCCTTTCTGGTGTATTTCTGTATTGGACTCATGCTGAAATGCTCACAAGAGATTTAGGTAACTCTCTACAAATGCTTTTGCAGGTAGTGAGTGTTAATATAATTTAAAAAATCTGTTGTTTTCCCACCCTTCTCCTACTCTTCACCTCTCTTTGTGAGAAAGGTAAATCATTCAGGGGTTGCTTTCAGCAAATACCATTTTGTTGAATTTACAGGAAGGGCTGCAGTTCCTCTGTGCACATGATGCTTTCTAACACATCACAGGCATCTTAAATGAAAAACATAAAAAATGCACACAAAAACATACAAATCTTTTTCCTCCCAAAATGTCCACACAGGAAAATGCTATGAAACTAAGTATGCTAACTACAACTTCACTCATAGTTTGTGTACAAAATTATGCCAACTTTATTATGAATATCCTTTTTGAAAGTGAGAGGATAAGGCTCCTTCTTTCTTCTACTATCACAAGATGAAAACAAAACAAAACAAAACAAAAACATATTTACTCTTCAGCTGCCTACAGAAATGTCACTGATGTTCAGGATGATGAATTGCTTCCTTTAGATGTGCCATTCTCCTTTCCAAGGATCCATCCTCATTTTTTTGCCTTTAAAACCTAAAAGTCATAGCAAAGACTTCTCACTTCATTCATCACTTCCACTTCCTCCATTTTGTGAGCATTTATGTAGCATAAAATGCAGTGCTGATGGCACTCTGCTCTTTGCCCATGTCTGAGTTTGGGATCAACTATGCTGATCTATCAATTAGAATTGCTATTAAAAAAATAAAAATAAAATTATTTCTCTACTGTTCTTATAATTAGCTATTTGGAAATGAATTTTTCCCTCTCTTCCATATATAAAACTGCCTTGGAGGCGTTGTAACATTTCTGGATTATTAGCAAACAGATGTACAATGAGAGTGGAAAAATGAGAAGACTGATGGACTCTGATGAGGGTGGAAAGGCTTTGCAGAGAGATCTGGACAGATTGGAGAACTGGGCGATCACCAACCACATGAAGTTTAACAAAGGCAAGTGCTGGGTCCTGCACCTGTGATGTGGCAACCCTGGTGCTACATATAGACTGGGTGATGAGATTCTGGAGAGCAGTCCTGCAGAGAGGGATCTGGGGGTTGTGGTTGACAGCAAGTTGACTATGAGCCAGCAGTGTGCCCTGGCAGCCAGGAGGGACAGCCGTATCCTTGATGCAGCAAGCACAGCATCGCTAGTCGGTCGAGGGAAGTGATTGTCCCACTCTACTCTGCGCTGGTCTGGCCTCACCTTACAGTACAAGAAGGACATTAAACTGTTGGAGAGTGTCCAGAAGAGGGTGACGAAGATGGTGAAGGGCCTAGAGGGGAAGATATATGAGGAGTGGCTGAGGGCACTGGGCCTTTTCAGCCTGGAGAAGAGGAGGCTGAGGGGGGACCTCATCGCGGTCTACAACTTCCTCGCGAGGGGGAGTGGAGAGGCAGGTGACCTATTCTCTGTAAACACCAGTGATAGGACCCACGGGAATGGTGTTAAGCTGAGGCAGGGGAAGTTTAGGCTGGACGTCAGCAAGAGGTTCTTCACCGAGAGGGTGGTTGCACACTGGAACAGGCTCCCCAGGGACGTAGTCACCTGCACCAAGCCTGTCTAAATTTAAAAAATGATTGGACCGTGCACTTAGTCACATGGTCTAAACTTGTGGGCAGACCTGTGCGGTGCCAGGAGTTGGACTTGATGATCCTTATGGGTCCCTTCCAACTCTGGATATTCTATGATTCCGTGATTCTATGATTCTAAGTCTAAATCAACAACTTCCTATAATCTGGAATTAAAATGGGTGGGATATTCATAATTATTTACAAACTTGAACAATTAGGCATTGGGGATCATGTTACAGCCAAGATTAAGTGGATAGCTGTGAAGATAGCCCAAGCCCAGCTTGACCAGTTCCCAGATAGAGCAATAAAGCTTGTGAATGAGGTGCCTCCAGCAGAGCAGTTCTGTGCACACACTGTGCTCTGCAGCTCACTGCATTGCAACGAGGCTCATGGCATTGGGATGCACCACCAGCCCTGCTCTATTATTTACTCTGTGCATTGTAAGGGTACACAGAAGATGAGCCTTTAGAGGCCTTCAGTCTTATAACACTGTCATCTCCACTTCAGTGTCAGCTATACTGGATGTGAGCTAGACTCAGTAAACAATTTTTTGTTGTGGCTAAAAAAACTCTCCATAACAGAAGTATGGCTCTGAGACATCTCATTTTGTTCTGAGTTGCTCTGAGGATTCAGCATTACAGCTTCTGGATTTGAAGTTGCCACACAAGTAATACATCAGTGTTCACCTGTGATATGCCTAAGCTAATCACTCCTCTGGATCCAAATGTGCCTAACCTGGTCTGCACCCATGATAAAGACAGTAATAGCCAGCAGATAACACTGTACTTTTATGACAGTGAATGGACACTTCGGACACATATGAGAAGTCAACTCAGGAACCTTCCACTCATAATCTTATACAGAGAAGAGGAAAATCAAATAATAGAGAATATCAAATAGAGTTAACTCTATTACTCTCTCTCTCTCTCTCTCTAGCTCTCAACCTTGGTGTTACATCCTCAGTTAAGTTTCCTGCACATTTTGTGTTCTGTACCAAGTGCAGCAGAGTCAGCCAGGGAGAGTAAGAAAACTCCTGATGCACTGCCCTAAGAGCAAAGGTACTGGCTCCTGTCAGACATTCTCCAGGCCAGTAACATATCACTGAAAATGGACAATAGCAGACAGATGTTAATGGAAGAGTGAAGGAAAACAAACAAATGAAAAAGCAAGTACATATTTGGTATTTTCCCAAACACTCAGTCTCCAACAGCTTGTGGCTCAGGAACTTTTTCATCCAAAATGTTATCTCAGGTCTCACTCGTTGATTGTGTGAGTTTAGCTGGTGACTTTTTGAATCTGCAAACTTTCCACAACTTCTGTTCCATTTATATTAAAAACTACTTCACTCTAATCAGTTCGGAGCTGCTACTTACTGAATTCATTTAATTCCCACTAGTTCCTAAGTCAGACAAACTTTGCTTAGGGACCCCCCTAAGTAATTTCAATTTACTTCTCTACCACTTTTTCTGGTTGTTATAGCTTTCATTCATTTTCCTGCTATAGAATCAGTTTATTGACCTGTGCTTCCACAGGATTCTTAATCTTAGATATCTTATATCATATTTGCTACCTTCTTGTCCTCCAGTACAAAGGCATTTTTAA